CAGCTTCAGCCTCAAGGTTCCTGCCTAACCTTCTTCAATGATGGACCATAATATAAAAGCAAAAGATAAACCTTTTCCTCTCCAACTTGCTTTTGATTATGGTGTTCCATCATTGTGATAGTAACTCTGACTAAGACAGTGTGCTAAGGGAATATTACTATGATTCGACTTTCTCATACCACTTCTTTTTCTCTGTTGGAGCCCACAGAAGTGGATCCATTCCATCTTGACTCGTCAGAGAGTTCAGGCCTGTTCTTGCTCCTTCGAGGTTACTGACAAGAGGTTTGACTTAAGGTGCCTTCTTGACCTAGGGTGTGGTTACTTGGTATTTTAGGTATTAAGATGATAATTATTTTGTTTCTTCCTTGTTTGTATCAAGGTAATGAAGTCTTCACTTCCTTCCCCCACTTTTGGATTGGGGTATTTGAAGCTCAGGAGAAATAAACACAGGCAGATTCAGTATTCACTGAGTTGCCCTCCTGATTCTATCCTGTGTCTCTGTCTATTTCTTTTGTGTCTCTGATTTTTCTGCCTAACACTTCTAATCCACACGCCCCTACACTGGAACATATGAACCTGTCGAGGCTGGACCCCACCATTTCTCTCCTCATCCTCAGGATTTAACTCAAGGCCTTAGACACGACAGACAAGCACTCTACCTACCACCTAGATACATCCCCAGCCCCACCCTCTGACAATACTAAATAAGCTCTCACTAAGTTAGTGAGTTCTTTAACTCACTCTGGAGCCCAGGCTGACCCTGAACTCACAACCATCCTGAGAACTAGGGGTTATATAGACATGCTACCACCAGACCTGATTCTCTAAGGTCTTTTTCTAGAAAAAGTTAATAGATTTATCAGATGTCTTTGACAGGTTGGCTTCTCCGGACCTGTTGCTTGCATTTCAAGAATCAGTTTTATTTAGTCATGGTTTATAACTATGTTTGATCTAAATTTAATGTAGACATTTCTGATTATCTATTAGATGATGAGGCTATCATTTGTATCAGTCTTTTGATGCTTTGCTGTTCTAGCTTTCAAATACGAACTGAAAAAGCTCTGTGCTTTTCAACAGTTTAAATGGGGTTTATTCCTTGGCTTCACTGTTAGTTACCGTGGGTACTCCATGTCCACTGGCCCTGCCATCTCTGCAGATGCTCTTCTACTCAATGTCATGGATCACTTCCTGCTCAACCACTCATCCCTGAGCACCCAGCTCAGCCAGTGTCGTATTGGCACATTTGAGACCTGACCATACAATAGTTTATTTCTCTCCTAACGTTTTTCTCCCTTACCAGGCTCTGAGCTTCTTGAAGCTGGGACACTCATGCATACATTTTTAAGTTTTTTAATCTCCAGGGCTCATCACAGGTGTTGGCATACAGCTTATGTTTACCGATTCTTTCTTATATGAATAAATCCCTGACACATTGCGGCAGTGAAAATTTCAAAGACTTACGTGTACACTTCTTGGTAGTTCTTTGACAGTAATCGCTCTGTGTTCTGCATGCTTTCAAAGGTGATGTACTAAGACAATGGGCGTGAAAGGATAAGGTGTTAAGTGAAAGGATTAAGTACGAATTCACACCACGGCTTATATCCTTTCTTGGATGATAACGAAAGGCAGCGCGCATTGAGTAGCACTTGCAGCGGGTGTGGAATCATCACATTTATTTCTCCTAACTGCCCTCAAGTTGACACGTGGATTCTAGAGAGGTTGGGTGACTTATCTGAGGTTGGACAATGTGGCAAGTCAAAGTGCCAGAATCTAAAGCTAGATTTTCTGGGTTCACAAAAATCTGTGACTTGCCAGCAGCAATGGTTCCTCCACCCCCATCCACGAGAAAAGGGACAGCTTGAGAAGGGGAGGATGACCACTTGCTCAGACACAATATTTCCTTATTAAGGATTTGCTTAATTTGGGTGCTTGGTAGGAAGATAGCTAGGAGCCAACTACCTCCCTGACGCGTCTCTTCTGTCTGAACACAGGCTAATCACCCAGTCTCACTTTATTTAGTTCATGCTATGATGTGCTCTGTCCTGAAGGGATAGGACCAGCTGTGGGACACTTGGGCACTTTTCATTCTTGCCACGGAAGTCCAAAAGGGTACAAGACAGATCAGATAAGAGGAGACACCTTTCTGTCACTAACATCCTAGACCAGTGGTTCTCAACCTGTGGGTTGTGAGCCCTTTGGAGGTCACCTATCCTGCATATCAGATATTTATACTATGATTCATAGCAGGAACAAAGTTAGTTATGAAGTAGCAATGAAGTAATTTTATTGTTGTAAGGTCACCACAACACGAGGAACTGTATGGAAGGGTCGCAGCATGAGGAAGGTTGAGAAGCACTGGCCTAGACTCTTTAGCTCACAGCTCTCAGTTCTTAGTTACGATTCCATTATCTGGGATGAGGGAGACTTGGGATCCCCCATTACCCCCCCCCCCAAAGGCTAGGGACAGTAGAGCTGTTACCAGCACAGTATAGAGACAGATGGTTTGACATTTGACTGTGACAATATGCCAGCTCCTGGACCTGCTAATTCTACCCCCAGTCACTTGGCCAGTTACCCACTCCAGGTAGTGACCCCAGACTGAATGACAGAAGTGGAAAGAGGCTGTTCAGCAGATTAAAGCCCCAAGTAACCAGAGGCTGTCATCTCACGAGACTATTTAGACGTATTCCACTTGACAGTCATTAATATTCTTCAGACGTGATGAGCAGGAAGCCCGTTCAAAAAAAACCTCTTCAGATCTCTGTACCTTGGAAGATAAAGAGACTGTGAAGGTTTTGTTTGGGAATTAAATATTCATTGGACTGGGTTAGAGCTGTTATTGTTCTCAGGAATAAAACTGGATTCCCCCCCCCTTTGTTTTAAAATAACTATAATCATTTTACTTAAGAATCAGTTTTTGTACCAAATCAGACAGAGCAATGTGTGCTGTGATTTTTTGAATATAATAGCCACACCTTGCGACGGAATACCCAAGGACTCTAAGCATTTTCTACAAGGACACAGCGGCCTGAGGCTGGAAGAGAGGCTGCTCAGGTCAGAGGACAGAGCTTGGCACTCTCAACCTGGGCTCTCCGCTATCAGTGCGGAGCTGTTCTACACTGTGAGGTTCGGTTTTGGAGCCTGTGAGATGGGGCGATGATGTTTCTTTCCTCTCAGGCTTTGCTAAGGACTTGTGAGTGACAGGAAGGAAACAGGTGGCCTGGGCACAGCAGGAGCGGACAGCGGTGATTACTATACACACGTTAGCACCAACACTGAGAGCTGGTCACTGCATGGCTGGGAGCTGTTCACATCTGTCCGCCCCCCCCCCCGCCTCCACCCACCTCATCTTTCAGGCATCACTGCTCACGTTTCCCTGGAATTTAAACATCTTTTAAAGGATTTCAAAGCTCTGAAGGCTGATTTCAATGAAACCTGTTTTTATTCTGTGCATTTTTCCCCGACTGTCACTCTCAGGTAAAACAAAAACCATTCACTGTCAAAACAACAAGGGCTTGCTCTGGAGCACAGAATGAACGCAGGTATGTCTGCCTGATTTATTTTGGTACGCGCCTCACTCTTAAATTGGGCACCTTTTAATTCATCGCTTCTTAAAGATTCACTTAGGCTTGCAAAGTGAATCCCCCGGGCTTGGTTTCAGTTCACTTTGAACTAGTTGGGCAGAAAGGTTGATCCCCGCCACCCCCCCTCCCCGTACCACATACACACTTTGCACATCCACCTCCTCTAAGGTGCAAATTAAAGAGGCAAGGGCTTGTTTAACAACTTCAGATAGGCACAACTGATGGTCTTTTGTTTTGACTTTAACCTAGAGAAGTTTAGAATTCAAACTTACTACCAAAGCTCAACCAGAGGTTTATAGGGGGCCATGGAAGCCAGTGGTTTTCCACAGCCCTGTGGAAGGTTATTAAAACAGTCTCTCTCCATCTCCTTTTAAAATAGACAACAGCTTTAAACAGAGAGATTCCGAATTCAAACTCTCCAGGCTGACATTTTAAACAGGCAATGGTGATTCCCTGTTTCTTAGTTTCTTTGCCTAAGGCTTTGGTCACGACATGGACCCAGTCTGGACTGCTTGGGGCAGGAACGGAGGCAACATACACAAAGCACCCAGCACCCATTAGGGCACACCAGTGGCTCTGATGTGCGTGGGCAGCGGCACCAAGGGAAGCACCTTTGAGTTCTTCCACCCAGGATTTAGTATTTCTCATATGGGAGCTGCTTCTCTGTCTGTTTCAAATTTACTTTGCTGAAATCGAAGCTATTTCTCTCCTGTTCTCAAAATCGGTGATAACATCTGTCTAGTCCCTTCAGTGTAACAAGGCCAGATTGAAGGTTTGTTTATGCAGTCATTAACACAACCACTGTTAGACAGAAGTGGGGTTTGGCATCTCAATCACCTACTTGAAATCTGGTTCATTCCTGGAGATGTAAACGGATTTAGTTACAAAAAGACACACACACACACACACACACATACACACACACACACACACACACCACATTAATATGTAAATGCTTTTGATTCTTTAATATAAATTTCCCCTTTCCCCAGACTCAGATTTTTCTAAAAATGTGCACATGTGGAATACATGAAAGACACTAAATGCTTCCTTCTTAGAGCAGATGACTTTTGATGAAGGCGGGAAATCTCATGGAGTCATTAGCCACAGTGTGCTAGTCCACACTTACGTAGACTTCCCCAACTTTGCTCCACACTACCTGTGGTCCAGATACCACACCTCTCTCTTTCTAGCCTATTTTCCAAATTATGCCAGTTTCTATGGATACAGACAAACCAGAGCATCCCACTGAGGCCTGGCCATGGACCATCAGTGAGGCTTGCTCTTTCCAGCTCAGAGCCAGGGAAACTGAGGTTATTTTCTGGTGTGGTGGAAAGTGAATGCCAGACACCAGTTCCTCGTCTAATCCCTTGTCTGACTGGCCGCTGGTAACCTGTGGAATAAAGCCAGGCTAAGTTGTTGTTCTCAAACAAGTTTATTTGTAACCGTTTTACATGGCGTGTTACAGAAATTAATGGAAAATTTCTAAAAATTTTGCTGCTCTGTTGAATGCACTGTACATAAAGTTAAAAATAACGTGTCCATATATGTGAACGGACTGTCATGTGAGGTAAAGGTTAAGCAGGTCTAGAAACTGCGACAGTCATTTTTCTCTTTCTCATCTTTATTAAAAAAATAGGTGTCAGAACGCAGAAGTTGAAAGGAACCGAACCCACGGAGTAAACATTGTCTTAAAGGAAGGTGCCCGGTACATTACATGATGGGGTTGCTGGAGACGCTAGGATGAACACAAGTTATCAAAAACATCTTGCGGCATGTAGAGACCGAGGAGCTATGGGGACTGGGGACAGACTGACAGGTGGCGTTTCCCTGGTTTCAAAATTTAAAGTGACAAATTCAGTGCTTAGGAGTGGATGAGGAAGTGAGTCAGACACACGAATCTTTCCGTCGGCCTAATCAGAACCGTGCAGACTCCCCAAACTCTTTCGGCATTGGTACCTCAGCTCCTACTTGGACACGCCACTGTATTCCTGGAGTAGGGGGACAGTGGTTCTGAACTCACCAAACGGTGCTGGGGGGGAGGGGGAGGGAAATCAGTATTCTGCCATAAAAGTGAAAAAGGCAGTTAAAAATCTCGACCTTCTCCTCCTCACTTTAATGTGTCAGTTGGGCATCTTCCTTCAGCTCAGATCTAGTTACAATCCAGTCATGCTCAGTGAGGGGTGACCATTGGCTGGGCTGTCACCACCTGCTATGACACTGGCTGCAGATGGTACACCTGGAATGGCAGCACCAGTCAGAGTTCACTTCATGTCACAGTAACTCGAGGAGTGGGGATAAGGGTGTGACTCAGATGGACAAACCCAGACAGTCACAGTGAGGGAGACGACAGCACCACTCACGGAGACTTGGCACCATGACGCCAGAGCCACCGAAGCTGTCTCCTGTGGTAACCACCTATCTTGCCAACACTTCAGGGAAGCAGAACGGCTTTCAGGACAGTTTTTGGCCATTATTCCTTCCTATTTCTCCTTTGCATGAGAGGGGCACCTCATCACAGCATGGATACACATTGTGGGAGGAGCCCTGTACCAACTGGAAGCAGCTCCAGAGGGCAGTGAACAACTCTCCCCGTTTCTCAAGTTCTTGGGGCCTTATACAGTAGGGTAGCATTGACATAGATTTTCTAATGGACGTGTGGTTCGTTTATCTAGATTCCAGTGTAAGATGTTGGCTCTAAATAATAACAATTAGTTTGCCATTGCTTTGTGATTCTTATGTGGAGAGTCACTTTAAAAACATCTTCAAAATCATTTTAGCTCCTATTGATAGGAGGAAGCCAAAGCATACAGGCCAATGTCAATGAATCATATCAAGGTAAATCTGACTTTTCAAATTAATAATTACTCCCAGATCCAATCACACGACTCTTGAGGGTTTCCTTCTTTACGTCAAACCACTAAATCCAACACATAACTGCATAGGAACATCAGGAAAACATATTTGACCTGTATAACAATTCTCTATAGGGTAAAAATATATAGATTCTTTATGAAAGTGTGTGCTAAACATATGAACTGACAGTAGACTTTTGTCCCATATGTGTAAAATCAGGAAGTGACTCCTTCTTTTTCATGTACAATCTGTCCAGGGAACTGATGGGAGCAGAAGTGGGAGCCAAGAGGTGAGTGCTTTATGGAATCTGAAACCTTCCTATGTGAGCCTCCTTTCTCTTCCCTTGGGCTTAATCTAAGGACTCTCCAGAAAAATTGGCTCTAAGCCCCGCCCCCTCCTGTTTACTAGCTTCTGATTGGCCCAAGACTTCTGCCTGTCTCTGAACTGTAACTTCCTCCAAGTCATCCTAGTAAAACTGGAGAGGGAGCCCCACCCATCATGTTTTTTTTTTTCTTTTTTTGCACCTTACACTCCTTCGGCTACCTTCTCTACAGTGTAATGGCATTATTAAAAGCATCTTCATTGACATATTTACATCATCAGAACTCCTTAAAGCCATTTCCCTTCAACGGTTAAAGAGTTTAATGGTAAGGTTTTCCTTTTCCAGTTAGAAAATAAAAAAAAAAAATCCCATTTGAATTTTCTGATGTACAAAAAGAGATAGAGATGAACCATTTGAGCACAGCGTCAGTTTGTTACGTTGAATATTTATGTCACCATTAGAAAGATGGTTTCTAAGATCCAAAACCGTATTACCAGAATTGTCCCGGAATTATTTGGCAAATGACTTTTCTTTGAAAATGGCGCATGGAGAAGACATTTGTCTGCATGGCATCACGGCAGCGAAGTATCAGAAAAATAAAGAGATCATTTTATTGTACTCAAGAGTTCACAGCTTCTTGGGGAACTGGATGTGTTTTCTATCTTTCTCATCAATGGGATGTGATGTCCTTTGTTACCCCCAGAACGAAGGTTCCATCCAGAAGCTGGCTTTCTTCATCGGAATGCAGGATAACTAAAGGGGTTGTTTTGGCAACATTCTTGAGTATAATGAAGAACCAACCACTTGTTTTGCCTTGTGATTTCGAGTGAATTCACTTCATAAGAGGCTTTCCCTCCCCCACGTAGACTTCACCCCTTTCTAAAAAAAAAAAAAAAAGAAAAGAAAGTCCAAAGCCATACAAAAATTTGTACACTCATTATTTCTCAAACATGACACAAGGAGGACAGGGGACACAGGATGGCAGACCAGGCCCTGTGGAGAGATGCCACGCACATCGCCACAGCCGGAAGGCATATGGATGACGACACTGTGGTCACAGAGGATCCCTTGCTTTGGCCTAAAAGGAGTTAGTGCCAACCACGTTGCAATTCTCTGACGCCTGCCACTCCACATCTGTGGTCTCTACAGTGGTCAACAGGTAGCGAAATAAAAGCACAATAATGGTTTCATATCCGGGGCATTTTAGGCCCAGCTGAGAGAGCTCAAGGTATTTCTTGGTTAAGCATCAGCTTGACTGGTGATCAATGTTGGGTTCTGTTTTTTTTTTTTTTAATTTATTTTGAAAATATCATTGCGGGGGTGTTGTGTTTTATTTTGCTTTTTTTTTTTTTTTTGTGCTGCCATAGGTATCTGCTGTTGGTTGCCCAAAACCACTCTGGTCTCTCTTCAGACAGTTTTCACGGGGTGACTGTGAGTTTCTCTGTGGGATGAGGTGAGGTGAGAGCACAAGAGAGCCGGTGGCGCCGCTGATCCCCATGCCAGTCTCGAAGCACCCACCACGCGCTCGCGTTGATGCTATTTCTTAGGTCTGTTGATCTGCGCATAGAGAGGCTCTGGCTCCTGCGGACAGAGGCACAACAGTCAGGCCTTCCTCGCTCACACCAGCCTTGCGAGACGGCTTTAGGAAGGAGGGCTTGGGGATAAAGACAGAAAAGGGACAGCTGCGGATGAATGACCTTAGGTTATTTTTGGATTGTCTCAGCATGGTGCTTCTCGTTTTGGCAATGGTTTCAGCTCCCCTAAGAACACATTCAGAGTTTAGTGTGCATGTGTGTGTGTGTGTGTGTGCGTGCGTGTGTGTGTGCACAGTTTTTGCTGTTTTTATACAAGTGCACATGTGTCTAATGCATGTGTGAATGTAGTGGAGGCCCAGAGTCAACCTTGAGTTTCATTCAGTAGGCACTGTATACCTTGTTTTTGAGATAGGGTTTAGCATTGGCCTGGAACTCACCCAGTAGACCAGACTGGATGGCCAGAGAACCTCAGCTCCGGTCTTCTCCACCTCCCAACTCTGGGATTACAAGTGTGTGCTACGGCACTTGTATTTTTTTTTCCGTAGTTTTGGAGTTTGTGCTGGAACTCACTCTGGAGACCAGGCTGGCCTCAAACCCACAGAGATCTGCCTGCCTCTGCCTCCCGAGTGCTGGGATTAAAGGCATGAACCACCACTGCCCGGCCATGCTTTGGTTTTTACATGGATGTAAGGGATCAAACTTATGTTTGTGTGGCACACTTTAAAGACTGAGCAACCTCCTCAGTTCCTAGAGGCAGGCCTCTCTTTGGTCTTGAAGCTGATTCCCCAGTAGGGTAATAATAGCATAGCATAGCAGAGTGAGCACACTATGTTCTGTGTGGTGGGAAAGATACTGATACATTTTGTGCCTCAGTTTCTCCAACTATACCATGGGAATAGTATTGTTTAATTCTACAAAGGTCTTGAGAGAAGGAGATAACTCACAGAAAGTACCTAGCATAATACTTGGTAGTACTGGAAGAAAGCAGAGGAGAGAAAAGGGCAAAGAGGAGATAAGACAGAAGTCCTCATGTCTGCAGAGAGCTTAGAGTTTGTGAACCACTCCCAGGTCTTACCTTCATCTACCTAACAGTCTTGCGAGCAGACTCCTTCATCCTCATTTTGGAGACAAAAGACTTAAGATCACAATTCACGTGCGTGTGCGGAGCATAAGACACCGTGGAATGCTCAGCTCTAAATGGGACACCTATACCAGAGCCTCTCCTCCAAAAGCTCGGGGATCATCTCGGAAGAGGGGGGGTGGAAAGATCTAAGAGCTGGAGGCGGTGGGCGGCTACAAGGAAGCAGTATTTCCAGGACACAACAGGCAGTTGCACATACGAACTCACACTGGTTGTGGCAGCGTACAAAAGACTTGCGCAAGCTCAAGCCAGACACAATACCAGCGCGGAACGGGGAAGTGGGCACAAAGTCTCACCCCCAAACTGAGAAGCTATTAGCAGCTATTAGCCAGCTGCCGGGGGGAGAAAAGTCGGTGTTCTTCAAGGATGCAACCCCCGAGAGGCTACCGGAGCTCTAGTAGATGGTTCTACACCCAGGCACTTACTGGCACTGCTGAGTGAATTCAGTGATGAAAAACAAAACAAAATAAAAGACTCATGACGTTGAGAAAAGATACTGGTGAGGGAGATGGGAGAGGAATTGGAGCGGAGCAAATGTGGGGGTGGATTTGATCAAAACTCATCATATTTATGTGTAAAGGTCTCAAAGAATGAGAATAAAAGCACTCTAAAAATGAAGCTGGGAGAAGTTGAACAGTCTCAAGGTCACTGTGCTGCCTCCTCCGTGTGATGCATCCCACGTTTGCTCCCTGTGGGAACCTGAGAATGGCCTAGAGGATGAACATTGTCTACCCATCGCTTTAGAGATGAGGGATCCAGAGAGCAGCACAGCGCTTCTGTGCTTCCCCAGGGTCATGTGAGCACGGAGGAACCACTCGGGAGCTTCACTACCCTTCACGGGCTCTCCTCGGGGACTGGCTAGAGCTCTGCTCCCTTGGGAGAAGGAGCCTTTTCTGCCCGTCTAGCCACCCTGTGCCGCAATAGAGCCAAACGGTTTGCTCCCCACACTCCATGCTCCACCCATGGAATTCACCCCGCTGAAGGAAACAGAGAGCTAAGTCAATGCCATCTGCTGGGGTGCCCAACTACAGGATGGGGTACCCATCTTCCTCCAGTCCCTACTGAGCAACCCGACTGGTTTTTACACGTAGAAATGTGGCATAGTAGGCCCTCACTGTGGAGATGGGGTGGGGAGACGTCTGGTGAATTAGTGTATGACTATGACACGCTGTCTAATATCTTCCATACTTTGATTTTCTTGTCTTCAACACATTTCAATTTGGCTTTATTTTTCCAAAGGCTGAAATTTTCAGGATCTGTGGCAGGGTGATCAGTTAAGTCCTAATCCATTTCCTTCCAATAGCTGAACTACGTCCACGATCTTCTGTTAGACTAGATAGGATCTCCCTGTTCTGTGTCTCGTGTGTGTGTGTGTGTGTGTGTGTGTGTGTGTGTGTGTGTGTGTGTGCGCGCGCGCGTGTGTATGTATGTTTTCTAGGGATGGGGTGTACTGAGTAAACAGGAATGGGATAAAAACTTGGTTAGGAACAGCAAATAAGAAAGGAGCATTTTCCGTCACCATTCACCTCAATGCTTCCTGTGAGACCTTCCTCACTCACTCCATCCTTCTATCTGGGCCCCCCTAGAAATAGAGCTGCCTTGATCTCACCCTACAATTTGCTCTATTCCAATTTTGGAAACCAATTTATCCAACGAAGAATGACACCTAAAACCAGAAGACGACAGCAGGCTCAGACAGGGTAATTAATGCCGCGCGGCATTAACTTTCTGCAGCGGGGATAAATATTCACGCAGGCCCTGCCTGCCGGAATCTAGCTGCAGATACCCATCACAACACTGGTAACAACTGCCGTCAGCTCTCAATTATCCCGACTAATGAAGGGGAGCAGTGGTGTGGAAAACCCCAAGCAGCAGATAGCCCCAAAGTCTCACACTGTGATGCATTGTTCGTTTTGGCAATCGCTTTACCTTCCTTGTTGGAGCTAGGAAATCATTTGATCCAGAAACCTCTAGCCTGGCTCTGGCAAGGTCATGGAGACCTCATTCTTTTCAGTATTCCAGTCTTTTAAAAAGTCTTTTTAAAAGAAGTTGTCATGATTTAGGGATTCTGTCTTCTTGGTTAGCTGAGAATGAAACTTGCCTGGAAAGTGTGAGCTGTTGGGAGATATATGAGACCTGGTTTTTTCAAGTCCTAAGATGTTATAGCTGCATGAACCTTTGGCAACTGTTTGGCAGAGGAGATGAAAGGTCAGAAGTCAAGCCATCTTGCATCTATTAAGTCAGGTTGTTGCTGAAAGCCAGGTACCTGATCCTGCTAAAGTGGTGCTCATTTGCTCGGTCTGCACTGAGTCCCAGCGCAGACTTCAGTCCCAGCCTAGAATTTTAGCAAGTACCTTCTCTTTCTTTCTTGTCAAATTTGTGAAGCAGGAATAAAAATTAAGTAGTGTCATCGTCTTTAAATATAATTCAGTAGGAGTAGATGAGAGGCACTATAATTGTTCCTATTAAGAGATTCCAGGAACACTGCGTGTGTTCTCCATCACAGGCAAGCAGACTTCAGTCCACTGACCAATTCTGGAAGCTGTCTGGTTTTGTTCACGGAGGAGGATTCCAGCCACTTCCCTCATTATGCCTTGTCTTTGCTACTTTCTGCTCACAAGCACAGAGATGCTATGCTGGTCTGTGCAGCCTGCACAACATACACAATACAGTCTCCTGACCTTGGATCTACATGGGCAGTATATTCTTGTATCCATCACCCCAATGGCTGAAGACCACGGTGAAGTCTTCATGCCTACCCCAATTTGACATTTGACTTCCAGAGGTATGTCCAGCATCCTACTGTCTTCTCTACCTGACTATCCATTGAGTACCTCAAGAGTAGCGGGTCCCAGTGTATACTTGCTTGCTTTCTGCTCAAGCAAGCGGCTCTGCACTCTACAACAATTGGTACCTTTTAGTTCTGCATCTCAGAATCTAGATCATCTTCCCCTCTGTATCCCCATGCCCCTCAGTCTCATCTTCAGCTACTTTACCTTTAAATACCTCTTGGCAACAGGTCTGGCTCTCCCTTCCAGCAGAAACTTCCTTTAGCCAGACCCTGGTAATTTTTCCTACTTCAAATGTTTTCCAGCTGGGGACATCAAAGAATGTCACTCCAAGAAGGGCTGAGAAGAGGAACTGTTCACTTCAGAAACTTAGGCTAGACTTGCTTCTAACTTGTACCAAATAGGCAGATTTGAATAAATGAACAACAAGTCTAGTATTTCTAAGGTTCTGTTGTTCAGTTCTATTTTAAAAGGGAATAATGCTGTGTTGCTCCAATCCTTGCACTCAGATGCCGAGGCCATTCTAAGCTACAAAGTTCAATAAAAAATTTTTGGAAGGGTGATAATAAAATACCAAATACATGCATTTTACTTTGAGATTTCCTCAATTACCTCTCATGCATCTGTGAGTTCATGTAGATATGTGTATGTATGGGTCTGTGTGGAGGTCAGAGATCAATCTTGGGTGTTCTTCTTTCTGAGCCATTCACCTTATTGTTTGAGACAGGGTCTCTCACCGGGACTTGGTTTTCAGTGATTAGGCTGCTGTCTGGCCAATGAGTCCCGAGAACCTTTCTGTCCCCACCTCCTAGCACTGGAACTGCAAGCGCTTGCCACCATGCCTGGCTTTATATGTGGGTGCTGGGGATCATGTTCATGTCATACTCATATCATGTGATCCCTGGAAAGCCTAGACAGGGGACTGCTGTATTACTTGTCCTTCTCCATGTGAGGAGAGACACGCTTACCTAAGGCCACTTGTTTCTCAGCCTCATTTCGACTTTGGCCTTCTGCTTTTCCTCTCTTTTATTTACCAAAAACAAACGAACAAGCAAACAATCAACAAGCCACTCAAAACTAAAACCAAAACCCAAGCATTCACTCTCCCAAAGCATTTGAAGCTCATCTTTATCTTTCCCTGAACACTAGGAATTTATCAGGTAACACTTTAAACGCCTTGGGTTCCCACTACGGAGATCAGTATTAAAAAAGTGACAGCGACTTATTATTTATGGCAGTCTCTATTGTTACAAAGGGAGACAGACCAAACGATTCCCATTGTTACAGATGCTACTTTGACTTGACAGCTGGGAAAGTCTGATAGGCAGTTTATTTACTTAGCCATTTAACCAAATAAATGTTTTCATTTTTCTTTCATCCCTTCAAAGGCTTACACTTCGCCCTTAAAATTGCTCCAGCAACACAGAACTGAAGTACAAATTACCTGCCATCCCCACACCAGCCATTATAATATTATTTGGGTTCTCTCTCTCTCTCTCTCTCTCTCTCTCTTCCTCTTCTTCTCCCTCTCCTTCTTTCTCTTTTTCCTCCCCTCCCCCTTTCTCTTTTTGTCCCTCTTGACTCAGTCTTTCAAAGATACATGATTCTCCCAGATGGAGAAAGTGAAATAATTGAAAGATATTTTTCTTTATTGCTAAAACAGAAGCGTTTGCTGTTTGCCCTGAAGTTTCCACCTGTGGGGATTGAGTCTGTGTGTTTCCTCTTATGCTAGAGCGATATGGCTTTAACTTATCAACAGTTGTCATCCTTGCTTACTCAGAACTGGGTGGCTATTTCTAATAAAAAACCAGCTGGAGATTGTGGCTGCAGGAGTGATAAGAGGGGTAGGGACTTTGCTTTCCAGCTGCATGACAGCAGAGGGGGAAATAAAGCCAGAGACACACTATCTCTGCATAATCCTTTTTCCAAGTATCTGCAAAAGCACTAAGAAATTACAGTCAGTGAATTTCCAGTTGGTTACGAGTAAAGGGGCTGGGGACAGAAAGATCACATTTGACTTGTGCTATTTTGACACTGATGGAGGGACACAAAGAGTCACGCGAGTTTCCCCGTGAGTGACATAGGGGACCTGCCTGTAAGGTGGGCATTAACTCTACTGCACAGCTTCTGACAGGGAACTGTAAAACGGCCAGGGTGAACTTATATGTCATCATAAAGTATAATCTAGCTCCTCAAAGCTGAGAGGGTCTTAATAGGATTTCCATAGGAACCCAAGATTGCTTTTTTCAGGGGAGGGCAGGGAGAGGTGGCCTATGGGGCTCAAATAGAAGTGATTCTGATTATGGGACACTAGAAAGGTCTCACCTCCCTTCCTCTGCTTTAATCTATTATGGGACATACAGACAGTTATCTAAAAACAGAAAGTATCAAGCAAAACTCCCTAGATATGGACTTCATTCAAACATGGGGCTGAATGCATAAAATCTAAGAATATAGAGCACCAACATATATTGAATTCATACCATATTGATTCTGGTGATACAGGTGGTGATAAGGGCAATTGTGATGGCCATAGTTGGGACGCTGATGGGCTTGCTGAGGAGGGTGGTAGTGAAGGGTGCTGGAGGTGAAAAGAGTGGTCATAATGGTGGAATGATTGCAGCGATGGCAGTGGTGCTGATGCTGGTATGTACTGCTAGTGATACGGTGATGGATACGCTAGCAGCAATGGTGGTAATGGTACTATTAGTGATGGTGGTGATGGTGGAGGTGGTGGTGATGGTGACGTTGTGATGGTGGTGATGGTGGCGGCGGTGATCATGGTGACAGTGAAGAGGGTGCAGGGGCGCTAGTGATGGCATGGGTGGTAGAGGTGGTAATGGTGGTTGCTTTCAGACAATCTATTGCTGGACACTGTATTGAGAACTCCATATACATCACCTCATGACTTCACCCAAATGTCCTATAAGATGGGCATTACTTTTATCCCTATTTTTCAGATGAAAAGAGTGGCCGTGAATCCTGATCAGGATGATACAAATAAGAAGGAAGAATCCAGGTTCTGAACTCTGACAATATTAATCCCCAAGCAGGACTAAATTTTAGGCGGAATTCGCATGGTCTGACTTTATACCACAGATTGGACTTATGGCATATTAGTTAATATCAAGGGTAATATAACCCTCTGCTAGCGGATGAAACATGATCAGAAATGAAAGAATGTCTCTGGCCCAAGATTTTCCACTCTTTTTGTGGCTAAGATTTGAACTCAAGTTCCAAATCCTGAGCTCTTGCCACAGCACCATGCGATGACTACAATCCAGCCACGTCAGATGGAACATCGAAGGAGGCACAAACTAAGGCCTTGTGGGAAACAGCCCAGCTTGAGTAAGTGGCTCAAGCCAACCAAGCTTGTGAAGATGAGTGCTTGAGATGCTGACCTGCCAAGGGTGTAAGTCCAAATACTTCAGTTCTAGGACAGTGCTGGCCACCATCGTGATGAATGGCCTCATCACCTCTAGTTCACTGATCAAATTTTCTAAAGCAACTTTGAGCATATGAATGTTGCAAGACCTCTTGGAATCACCTTAAGGACTCTTCTTATAATCCCTAACATTTCTCATTCCTAGAGCACCGACTTTGCCTTCAAGAGATCAATTCCCATTATGATTGTGACAGATTGGCTTTTCAGACGGGTATTTGGGTTTTGTATGGTATGGCATATTATTACGGATATAAAATGTGACAGAACATATAGTGTGCTAGATTCTTTAAATCATAAAAAGCCTATGAACACAACAGACTTTCAAAACCCTGGGTTAGCTTTCAATTACTGTCCACAGGACTTGTGTGTGCACTAGGTGTGCACTATGGATAACTCTGCCGTGGCCACAGAACCCAGTCCCGCACAGTGAAAGCTGCTCACCATGCAAGTGGCCACGCTGCTGCTGCTCAGGACAAAAGGAATCTTTGAGTTTGGCTTTGCGGTCCTCCATGTTTAGTTTATGGAAAACCAGGAAGATGTCTGAAGGTCACGTTTGTCCAAGCTGGCCTTAGAAATTGTGTCTAAGGAACAAGGTATACTTTTGCCTCCTGAGAAGGTTAGCTTCATCAGGTCTTCTTTATTTTGATCGAATCAGAGCTACTGAAGGTTAAGTTCCAAAAGGCACTTCTAGGGAATGCAAGGATGCCCCTCTCCAATTAGCTGCTGCCGAATCTGCAGTGGTTTGGTGGTAAAGCAGCACAGGCTGCAGCAGAGCTTCCAAGAGCGGAGCCTCCAGAGTGACAGCTCCATGTCTTTGGGCCTCGAATTTCACTGACACACTGGAAGGGGGTACAGAACCCCTCTCAGCTAGATGGGAAGGGCTACTATAACTGCACATCTTGATCAATCTTATTTCAAGCATGGCTTGTTTTTGTTGCACAGTCTGGCTTCTTGGTGCGTTTGATTCGTGACCTCTTTAGATCCGTGGCATGTAGGCAAATGCAGTGACATTTCACTTAAAAAGAGTAAGGCGTCTGGGGCGCCTCTCACTGAGAAACTGTCGTGTGTGTGTGTGTGTGTGTGTGTGAGAGAGAGAGAGAGAGAGAGAGAGAGAGAGAGAGAGGGAGGGAGAGAGAGAGAGGGGGGGGGGGGAGAGAGAATGATATGCCCATCCTAGAGGGCCGATGTTTTTAGAAACTCAAGGCACATTAGGTAGTGTTGACTGGGTAGATAGAATAGAATTCTATTACCATCACCAACTCAGAATGCATCGTTAATTAAATAATGAAACTATTTGCCACATTCCCTCCAACTCTACCTCTTTGGGTAGGGTTTTGAATTACCTCAAAGGTCATTCATCCACGTGAGAAAGCAAAGTGCAAAATTGAAATGAGGCAAAGGGAGATCGTTCCAACACTGGGTAACGGGTGAGACGGCTCAGGCAAGGTTTGAGGGGAGAACTACTGGCAATATAGTAACAGGCACGGAAAACAGTGCGGGCATTAGGAAAAGGCACAGATGAGGGGAGAGGGCACGGATACTATCATACAGCACAGGCAAGCAGACAAAGCACAGACACTGGACTATGACGTCAGCGGCACACAGCAAGCAAGAGGGAAAACCTTGCAGGTGGAGGAGATTAAAAAGGACAGATACCTACCCAGACCTGCGCTATCTAGCTACCGTCTTGTGGACTTATATTATCACCACTGGGATCACCACTGGGCTCCCCAAATGGATCACTGGTGGAGGACGCCTGTGATCCATCAGGCTAGAACACAAGAAGATAACACTTTTTTTTTTCTCTCTTCAACAAGTGAAAACATAAGGCAACTAAGATTATATTCACGCGGCATAGGCAATGAGTAAATTTAAAGGAGGGCTGAAACTTCTGCCGGAGGATGCCACCGCCCAGATGCGAGAGCTCCTAATGACTTAAAAGGTCAGTGTTTCTGGCTGAGATGCATCTGGGCACACAGCAAAGTCCTTTCGGAGGCCGTTCGGACACCAGCTCTGAGCTGGCATTCTCTTTTATGTTGGCATCCTCATATACTATGGGGAAAATTTAATTTTAAAGGAAAGTAGGGCAATCAGTGGATCACTTACGGCCTCTTGTTCTTCACTCTTGCTGGGACTTTCAAAGCCTTCTTCAAAGATGTCGTCTGTGGTCGGATCACTGGCGTGGGACGCTGATGATTTCGAGGGAGAGCTCTGCCTAGGGGCTGGGGTCGGAGCTATACCGAAAGAGGAAACATGGTAAATAGAAATACAAGCCACAACCATTTATCTTCCTCAGACACACCTGGGGTCCCCTGACGATTGAGTCAAGTCTGCCCTCTCCCCATCTCAGGCCAAATCTATGCAAATGAATTCCTCCCATGTTTATTTAGGGATGCCAGCCCTTGGAGCCTACAGGTCAGTGAATTGGGGACTCTGAACAACTCCTATAGTGCTTCTGACATACAAGCAAGCTGTAACCTGCTGGGCCAGGCTGATTCTCTTCTCTCTCTTTTATCAGAGGACACATTTTAAAAATGACTTTCTTAGATCAGTCACTTTTAGAAAATTTAAGAGCAATAGTCCTCAAACTTGTGAAGCTCCTTTGAGAAAGAGGTTACTTATGTTCTCCAGAAAACTGGAGATGGCTAACGTCTTCACGGCAACTGCTAAGCCAGGCTTCGGATTCTTGCACACGCTCAATAAGCACAGGCTGGACTGGGAGAGCCATGGTAGGCAATGGCAAGCGTGTTGTGAAGAATATGCACCTGCTGCCATGACCTTCCTAAGTCTTTTTCCTCCTCTTATTTTTTTCCAGAGGTTTCTACCACAGACGACGTTGGAAGCTTTTCTTTTAACTTGGCATAGAAAAGTCCGCTCACTGGCTCAATCCCTAGGGATGGGTTGACTGAACAGGTGAGGAGCAATACCATCGAGAAGCGCTCCCAGTCCCACTGTTCCAGGGCTTAGCAAAAACCTCGAATTTTATCAGGACGTGAACGACTGCAAAAGTTACTCTTGATCTTTTACCCTGTGGGCACTATTTCTATCTCCCTCATCATTCACAGTATGCCAACGAGGCTACCACTGACCAAGCTCCTTTCCTTCCTTGTGCTCCTGTTACAACTACATGCAGTAATGTACACTTCCTTCAGGTGTTCAGAGCCAGGGCCCGGAGAGGCATGGGCAAGCACTCACATCTACAGAGGTGTGCCTATGAGTTCTGGGATGGCACAGATGCATCTAACATTACTCAGTCTTTCCTATTTGAGGTGTTTTGTTTTTATGCTTTGTTTTCGAACAGTTAATGTCTTGCTCATATCTTGAAGGGATGCGGCTAGAGAAGAGGGTACAAAAACTGACGCTACATATTTTATTTAAGAGAAAACATTATGTAGATCTTGTTTCATGAGCTGGTTTCAGAGCAAACTAGCTACACGAGGTTTAACGCTGTAAAAGGCTGCCTTGCTGAGTGGGCAATATTAAATAATTGGGTTCCGAATTGTGTTTGAGGTGGTATGTCGCTTACAAAAGGCAGGGGATCCAGGCTGAGTCATCCATTCTAACAGTATACTGATCACAGTTCCCCAGTGGGACCACCGGGAAGGCAGCTAGAGTTTATTTGCACAAGCTTCTCAGTTGTCACAAGGCTTTACGGTGCACTTCAGTATTTCATGGTCATGTTTTCTCAAGGTGGGTGGCCATTTTGCCCCCCCCCCCACCTCAGGGGACAATGGCAATGTCTGGGGTTATTATAGGCTATGACAAGTAGAAGAAAGGGAGGAAGATGATGTTTGCATCTGGTGGGGAGGAGCTAGAGAAATGGAGGAAGATGGTGTTTGCGTCTGGTGGGTAGGGGCTGGAGGACTGTGAAGTAAGTACTACATACTACATGTGACAGTCTCCTGCAACAATCATCTGTCCCCAAATACCAACACTGATACACTGGCTAAACCTTCCTCTCAAACACAGTGATGGCGGGCTGGCCTTTCGGGCATCTCATTTCATTCCCTACAACCTTTTCTAACGTCTGGATGTGCCAGGCACCCCACTAATATGCTGAGAAGTGTGGTGTGGGGATGAAGGCAAAACAGTCCCTGTCCTCAAAGAACTTCCTCGTTTGTAGGCAGCCCATGGGGTTCCCTGAAAAAGGAGACATGTGCTTTTAAAAGGCTCTTGTTCACTTAGGCATGACTGTTATTTCTTTAGCATTTCATTTTTTATTCATTATTCCTCATTGAAACCCCACGGATTAGACTTAATAGAAATGCCTTGACTATGTAGCACCCATGGCCTGTGTGCAAGGCCTTCATTTTCAGAACAGCATTCTGAGCCTGGCTGAATGACACAATCTAATTGTATTCACATTAGATATTTTTTTTTTTTGACAATTCATGGTATTGGCCATCCAGTGATCCGTATCACCGGTGACAGTAATGAAAATGCCAAAATCATTGTACCATGAACCTTTTCTTTTCCCTTATCAATTGTCAAGGCCCAGGCTGAGTCACTAAAACACCTTTTTTCCGATTGTCTGACAAGCCCTCGCGTGCTCAAGTGTATCTGGATTCCGATTCGTCAACAGGCTTTCTATTTTTGGTGTTTGCAATGGGAAAAATAAGCGGAAGCAGAGGCCCCACATGCTCAGGCCAGAAGGAAGGTGCTGCTCCCCCAAGGGGTCCAGAGACTCAGAGCGATGATTTGCTCTGTCCTAAGACACAGCTTGTCACACTGGAGCCAGCACTAGAAACCTGGCCCAGGAGCCTGCAACAGTTCCCTGACCAGGATCACCATGAAGGAGATCCTTTCATGTTGCAATGCCTTTAAATGGCTGACTTTAGAGCGTTAAGAACCACAGGGCCCGTGGTTCTTACCTTTTTAGAAGGTAAAACTATTACTGCAAAGCACATAGTCAATAGGAATAAAAAGCCCTCCATGTTCCCAGCTGGGGCTGTCTGTCCATTCTCGTTCCATTCAACTTGGTGTCAATCATCAGGCCCCGAGATGACCTCATGGTTATAAACTCTGCCTTACAACTCCCCTGATCTTAATTTCCTTTCTAATTAGTGGGCCTTGTTTTTAGATTTAATTAAATTAATTAATTAATTAAAGCGTGTGTGTGTGTATGCACACATGTGTGCACTCGTGTGTGTGTGTGGGTGTGTGTGGGTGTGTGTGTGTAGGTCAGAAAATAACTTTTGGGAATCAGACCTCTCCTTCCTACCATGAGTTCTGGACACTGAACTCAGGTCTTCAGGTTTCATGGCAAACACCCTCACTTTCTGAGATCTTTCTGGCCCCTTGTTTCCACTTTTAAAACATTACATTTATTTTCAATTTAATAAGTCATGCTAAAATTTGTTTGCCATAGGCTAATACATACACAAATCACAAATGAGCATATCAATGAAACCTTAAGAAGTACAGTGATGTTGTGGACAAATGCCAGACATGTATTCACATTGTCAGTGAACCTTACTGCCATTATCTGTCACATAGATCGGGGGGAACTTGGTCTCAAGAATGAGGTGTGTGTGTGTGTGTGTGTGTGTGTGTGTGTGTGTGTGTGTGTAACTGGTAGCTGAGTTGGTGGCTATGGGGACTGTTAACAGTGGTACTATCAAGCTTGAGATGCAAGTGAGATAGATTCTGACCCTCGTAGCTTAGTTACCAGGAAAAGGTCGTTATATCCATCAGGATTTAGCCCAATGAAAGGACACTCACGTGAGTTGGTGGACGGCGTGGTGGAAGTCACAGGGGTCAAATTCAACTGGGAGATGTCAAAGTCATCACAGTCGTCCGTGTCTTGTGCCACCCCGACTTTGTTGAAGTAACTGGAGAAGGCCTCTGAGGTACAGGTCAGGGAGGGCTGGTCAGGCTTCCGGGAGGGCACGGGTGGAGGCTGGACCATCTGGAAATCCTTAAACATTTCCTTCCCCATTTTCTGCCTGGGCTTGTCGCTCTGTGGACTTGACCTGGCAGAGTCATTCGTGCCGGGGACCGTTGCAAGGGGGGTGAGGGGACCTTGGAACATGGCAGCTGGTAAAGGCATAACAGTTTGTGTGGGCATGAAGGCGGCTGGCGGGAACTGCCCGGCCACGGTTGGCCAGGGTTGCTGGGTGGTAGGAAAGAGGCCCGGCTGGCCCCACGCGATGGGTTGAGCTCCTGGCATCACCTGAGCAACGGACGGCTGAGTACCCATGGCGATCTGCTGTTGAACAAGGGGCTGCTGGCCCCAGAAGGATGGGAGGACGGCGCCCATAGCGACATAACCTGGAACGGGAGAGAGGAAGGGTCAGGCATCCGGGATAGAAGAGAAGTCTATGGAGCCTCGGAGTGATTGACAGCTATGTACTGCCCATTTACAGCGAGGGAGCGGAGGTCTGACTTTTCACCTCAGCCTCTGAAGTTCTGGCAGTTCAGTTTCGTGCTGCCCTCTGCCTTCCACCTGGGAAACTTAATGAAAGTTAGCTTCAGCCACCGAAACTCTTCTCAGTTGACCAAGCAGAGGCAAAGTGAAAACAGGGGCAAGGCTGGCTGCCTCCCACTGAGACTCTCCAGCTCTTGAACTATGAACTCTGGGAAAGCACAGCAATGGTAACAATGTTATTATTCCCCAACTCAAGTTGTGTTTCATTCCCTATTTATGACCTTCCTGATGAGAGGGTCGCCTGGCCCCCTGCCTCCAGAAGGTCCAGAAGGTCCTGAGCTCAAGAGCCTATGTCTTTCTCATGTGGTTACCCCAAGTCCTAGCACCCAAGTCCTAGCCCAGTCTGCCCTCTGTAGACGATTACTCTGTGTCATGGAAGCCATCCACACCTTGAATAGAGAACTATTTAGCCTTCAGACCATCCTGCTGAAATCGAAGATAATGGATGTCCAACTTATAGACAGGGACGTGGAGCACTGGGGATGCATAGGCCACTGGTCCACATCCTCACACAATCCCTGCATGTTAGATACTGTTATGTCCATTTAGGGATGAGGAAAGCTGAGTCTCAAGGGAGGAAAGATAATTTGCTGACTGTCACTGTGGTGGCCCAGGCTACCATGTGGTACGGCAGAATTATCTGTATTCTGTCAATCATGTATTTTAATAAAACGCTGATTGGCCAGGCAGGAAGTATAGGCGGGTCAACCAGACAGGAAGTAGAGGCGGGGCAATGAGAAGAGGAGAAGGCTAGGAAGGAGGAAGTTAATTCCTCCATTCCTGCCCAGACCACAGAGAAGCAAGTTGTAACCTGCCCCGCTGGAAAAGGTACTGAGCCACATAACTAACACAGACAAGAATTATGGGTTACCATAAGATGTAAGAATTAGTTAATAAGAAGACTGAGCTAATGGGCCAATCAGTTTATAACCTAATGTAGACTCTGTGTGATTTTCTTTGGGACTTGCCAGCTGTGGGGTACCAGGCAGGACAGAAACCCCAACAAGCAGGCCCCCTCATATTACAACCATGGAATGTAGCATACTCTGGAAATCCTTACATTTCCTTATGCTTCTCCAGGGGCATGGTGGCCACTTACATGGACACCGAAGCCTAAGAGACAAGTGGCCACTCAGTCACAGCAAAGGGTAGAGAAGCCAGCTTTGCCCAAAGAAGCACTTTAATGGCTGCCAGAATGAAGCTGTAGGGACAGCACAGTGAGATCAGAATGAAAAAGGGAGAGGATGCAGGGTATCCTAGCAACATCTAAAGGGATGATGGGCAGGTGCTGTGGCAATGATAACATCATGGTTCATATCAGTATCTCTGGTGATTCCACAGTGATGGTGTACAGAGTACCTTGTTCCAGTCCCAGATTTAACTGTCCCTCAATAGACTGATTCAAGGGCAAGGCAACAATCCCAGTCTGATCATTTCTATACCTCCCTGCCACGCTGCCCCAGGAGGAAGCAGGGCACAAGGACTTCTTGCTGGTGAATCTAACCAGTGTTAAAGTCTTTTAAACAATGAAACAGACATCCTAACAGACAAGTCCAATTATCCCTGGGCATGAGGGATACGGTTCAAAGTTTAGATCTGTTCACTGTTTCATCTGTTGCCCACGAATGCAGTGATTTGACCTCCCGACACACTCAGTGACAAGCGGGTCACTCTTTTCTGATGTACTTTGACATACCTAAATTATTCTCAGAGGGATTGCCCCCTAGGAGTAAAGAGGAAATTTGTGAGATGTTTTAGTTGTTATGGTAACTACAGGGAAGTTAAGGTAACTACAGGTCTCATGGTATTTAAGGGGCCACCGGCATTTACAGCTGATATAATTTGTGAGACCAGTGCACAGGAGAGTGAACAATTCCACCTTCTGTCTATGAATGGGTAAAGCCTACATGGACTGAATGACTCAGAAATTCGGTTTCTTTGTGTAGAATCAACGCCCATGACTCCCCACAATTGATACAAGTTTGCACACTCAAGGGAAAATATATATTTTATTTCCTCTGGAATGCTCAAGGATTTTTTGTTTTGTTTTGTTTTGTTTTGAAAATGGTGGTTACAGACAGAAACACGTCTGCTGGAGGCTGGTCTCTGCCTGTATTTTCAGCAGTATTTACTGGTGACTCTATTATCAGATCATCTCATTACTCATCATGTCCCGAAGTATGGTCATGCCTAAGTATTTCTAAATTGAAATACATGCTTTTATTATAAATCACGTCTCATTTCAATTCCATACTAGCAGTATGACATTATACTGATTAAAAGATGGTGTTGGAACATCATGCTATTATCTGTGAGTTTGGACACTGCAGACGCTTGCGACAGAAAGAATGATCTAGGCTTCACAAGTGGCGACTTAAATATCCATGGACCTTCAGTGACTCTGGTGAGGGTCATTAGTGAGAGGGTAAAAACTGGAGGTTTCTACCCAGTCATGCCACCACCCTCCTTCCCACTGCTATTCTAAAACACAAATACATCTGTTCTTTGATGATGGGATTATAACCTTAGAAAACCTACACTAAACTCAAGAGACTGCAGGGTCTAACCTACTGAACAGACTGCTTAGCGGTCCAGTACACTGGGGACGGAGTGACCCTTTTTCTTTCTGATTGCATGGCTGACTGGGAGCCACTGCTCCCGGTGACTGCCCAGCATCTACCGAGAGCACTGAACCACATATTGTTTCCCTGGGGAAAGATCAACATTCGCATTGTGGTTTCTATTGAATGCATATTGTCATCACACAAACACAAAGGAAAAAATTCTAAGGAGAAGCATTCTGAGCCACAAGTTAGGAGTCTATGTGGCACTTCACTGTCTTGTGCAGAAGGCTCAGAGAAGGCTTGGCTCATGAGCACCGGGTGGTGTATGGATCAAGAGGACGGACATCTTCATCTTTTTCTAAGAGCGTTATGTAAGATCCACAAGTACTGTGATCTCTGATGATTCTACTGCTGATGGCAGCCCCTGTCCCATATTTTGTTTCTTTTCTTCCCCCCTACAGGGAGCTAACAGATGGGCTATGAACAATTTTTGGGAGAGAGCTATTAGCATGTCTCTCTGGCTTCAAGCCATCTGCTCCAGACCACAGTACAATATTCAGAAGAGAAAAAGGCAGCATTGGGTAATTGTCACCATGTTGGGGGGTTTACAGATCTTATTCAATCTTCCTTGTTGAGGGAGGAGGGCTGTGCAACCTGAGTTTTTCTCAAGCCTGGGAGCTACTGCTGTCTAGCCACAGGTCTTACACATGCCTGAAGGCATACCTCAGCATCAGGGCTCTGGCATCATTGGTCTCAGTGAGCAGCTTCGTGGAGGCCACTGCAGTCACCTAACGATTTGTTAGCTGCAAACTTGTTAATGTGTGCAGCAGTGGAAGGAGGAGGTGCCAACAAGCATCTGTTTGTGTCACCAAGCTTGGGTAATACAAACCTCTTTGCTGCTAGCAAACTGCATCCCCACCTTGCAGCTAGGGGCTATTTTTTTTCAAGTGTTAAAAATTGCAGTTTATAACAAGCCGCCAGCTCTGGGGACAACCCTACCCATGTCTGAGGAAAGGGAAACAAAACCAGACTAAACTATAAGAAGCACATTGAAAACAAGGGGTCTGTATTTGTATAGAACTTATATGGTGCCTCCTAGACACATTGCCCCATTTGACTCATTCATTCATCCAAAAATATCCATGCTGGATGCCTGGCTTTGACTCAGTCTCTAGAGATGCAAAGAACAATGCAGCAGTCCCCCGTTTTTGGTGGGGGAGCAGGTCCTTGTAGTAAGCCTCTTGAGTAGCTATTATTACTATCTGTTTAATCTGTATGCATAAAATCCTACTTCCACGAGGGCACAGCCTGCACAAGCCACTTATATGAGCAGCAAAGCAAGGACCCCTGGTAAGAAGCACATAGCATCCACAGAGTTCTTCCTTAGAGCAGATTTCTGTGCAACATTACAAAGGTCTTCTAGAAGACACCACGTACAAGGCTCTCAGCACAGCTCTGGGAAATCAAATCACCATCCCTCATTTTCACCCCTAAGGGCCTAGGCTCAGCAGAGATCGGGCTGGGTCATCAGCAGCTGGTTGGTGGAGAGCCTACGTTCTCCAATCCACCCAGGCTACCTCTGCCATGAAGAGCCAAAAGACTAAAGACCTAAACTTTACTATATGCATTTAAAAAGTTCCAAGAAGATAAAGGAAAAACAAAACAAAACAAAACAACAACAACAAAGATTGGGCAGGACAGGGCATGTCATTTGAGTTCTGTAATCAGAGCTACAATAAAATAATAACAGCCTTTTCCACATTGAATGCCTATGATACACCGGCATTTTCCAAAGGGCTTAGTTATCTCATTCAGTTCTCATGATATTGACACAAGGTCTTGCTTTTCAATGCAGGTACGAAGATGAAATTTTGCCTCTGACAGATTATCTGCCCCAACATCTTAAAGCCAGGATTCAAGACCGGCCAGGAGATTTGGGGGTCCTCAGCAGCAGCCATCCTTTGTGGGACTGGGCCCCGTCTTGACCCTCTCTCCCTATTGCTGGCTAGACAGATCAGTTGTACAAGGTGCACAGAGGCACAACAGCTGGTGACACTGGAACACCAGGCCCGAAGAGGGAAAGGCTCCCATGATCGCCACCCAAGGACTGCCTCAAGTATATTTTATGTAAAGACAGAAAGCGAAAATATACTAACGCAAATCAATTTTAGAATGATGCTCTGAAGGCTGTTCAGATTTTTTACTAATCTGAAGGGACAGCACCACAAAAACAGACAGCTCGAAACATAGCTGGTTAAGTAGGAGGAGACTACACTCTTGAAGCTCACCCAGGATAAAGCAGAGCAGTACTGTGTCTAACAAAGGTCTCTAGAACATTTGTAGTCAAATATGAGTGCAGGGGGAGACATGAAGTCACATCTAGTACCATTTGTTCTTGACAGAGAATAGAATGCAAGTAGAAGGGGTCAAACTTCTTTCTCCTGCCTGGAACACCCTTAACCAAGAAGCCTATTGGCTTCTTTGGCCCTTTACCCTCTTGGTGTTGCCCTACTTAAGACAGCCTTCTGACCATACTCTATTTGGCCAGAATTCTCGTGGTCACTCTCTGCCTTATGCATCTTTTCATCCCCACACCTCTCATATTCTAATGTATTGCACAATTGATTTACACTACGCTATATGCCCCCAGCTAGAGGGAAGCCCTCTATATTTACTGATGTACCCCAATCACCTGAGACAGGAGCTGGCATTTAGTGGGCACTCAGTGAATACGTGCAGAGGAAGCACACATGAAGATCAGTAAGTATGGGGTCTAGCATTGTTATTACTGATCCTTATAGACAGAGCGATGGGGACCAAGTGTGGGTATGTGATGGTAAGGTTCAAGCTCAGGCATATTCCCTATAGTTATTTTTATTCATATTTTAAATGACACATTCTATTTTATCATTTTAATATCCATTTCATACTCAGAAAATAAGTCATCACCACTATCCCATTTCAGAGATAACTAAAACAATTCAACTGGGGAGCTTGGAAATGCACACATGTCTAGGCTGCCTGTAGATACCAAGTAAGCTATCAGTCAAGGCCAGTCACCACCAAGCTTCTAAAAGTTTGTGATGATCCTTAGACTCAAGAGGAGGAGCTGTATTCCAGCACAGCCTATGAATTTTTAATTTACGTACAATAACAGCAAGGTTTATATTTAGTAGCGAGAATTTGCTTCTAACACTATATAATTAAAATTAATTATTTACATAAAAAGCACAAGCAGATTTGTAGTCTAAAATATTCAAGCTCTCATTTGCTGTTTATAAAAATAAAGCCAAGAAAGAGATAGTGAGCCTCCAACTCAGTGAAGGTAGGCAGAAGGAAATGGAATGTTCCTCTAGGCTTTTGATAGTTGAAAGAACTAGACTCTCCCGTCAGTGGCCCTTTCCAAGTGGAATGGCCTGGCTACCTGGAGTGGCAGATATCACGGACACAAAGTATAACCCCTGAAATGCTACCCATCTGTAACTTACCTGCAATACTTTGGTCATAGACATTTTTACCCTGTTGTAAAGATACATGTTAAAAGGATACTTGAAAAATGAAAAAAAAAAGATATTTTCTGACTCTCTAAAAACCACATTCTCCTCTCAGTTACCCACTAGCAATTCACTGTTGTCCTACTTGGCTCTCCATGTGGGTGGGGGACTGCTCTTTCCTTGAGCCCAGCAAGGACTTAAGAGGCCTGGCTCCTCTCTTCTGGGCACCATCTTCCCTGCCTCTGGCTGTAGTGATCAGGAGGGAACGGACCTGATTTCTACATCTGTGTGCACGATGCGTTATTTCTCAAACAACCCTGAGTCTGGAATTTTCCAGGTGGCCTCAGTACCCACAGCCTTGTGTTTGACCACCTGCCCACCGACACGGCTGCCTCAAGTCTCCTGATGAGCCACAGGTGAGAACCAGACTCAGGTGCTCTAATAGTATTCAGGGCTGGTTCTGTGAGTTGTCCGAGTGAGGACCACAGGACGTAGGAGGGAGGAAGGGCGGGCTTACCTGAGGGTACAGCAGCAGTGCCAAAAGACACAGAGCCAAACACATCTGCACTCCCCGGAAGCGTCTGCGATGACGACGGGAGGAAGGCATCACCTGGGGTTGCAGGAGTCTGCCAGACAGAGAGGGGCAAGGGAAGAGACGCGTGAGACCTGCTCTGCTAGCAATCCACGTAGGCCTGGAGGGGTGGGAGTGACAACCAGACACAGTCCAAGTCACTCATGTGCTTCATAGGCTGTGGGCTGGGGACAGAAGCGCTACTTACCCCCTCCCTCCAGAGCTGCAGTGGGGACTAAATGAAACCATGCGCCTAAACGATGATTTTTTATTAAGTTTTTCTTAAGCCACTGTGCATGGGCATATAGTCGATGCTCAGCACACAATGGCCAGCGTGCAAGTCCATTGGAGTCCCTACCTCTGGGGGGCTTCAGGCCACCAACATATTCCATCATATATGGCTGTCGCCACTTGCAAGTGGTCAGTTCAATCTGAAATATACACACTTGGGCCCTACTGTATTCTCGGTTTAGAGTGTGTCGTTGATTAGGGGGTCAGTAAACAGTTGACTAAATAAACAAGGCTTGGCGAGTGGATGGAGTGCAGGCCTAAGTATCCTGGAGCCTTGCAGACTATTGCTTGAATCTGAACCTCCCACTTGCAAAAGAAAGAAAATATTTCTGAGATGACCATCTAAGAACCACAGTGTATCTGGGAACTTCTAGAACCAACCTGGCCCAAGTTGCAGCTCTAGGAAGGTCAGATGCATGCTGGGTAAGATGAGAGTTATCAATAAGATCGGCACCTGTTAACTGTATAGGCTTTTGCCTAAGAAATGTAAGCCGGCTGGATGCCATAATATCCTTATTGGTCCCCACCCCCTCCGTTGGAACAGACTGGGGCAAGCAATTAATCCTGAAACCAAGGCAATTAGACAGGGCCATTTTTAGACCGTCAGCTTCCGGGACGAATGGCATTGTTCGGAGGATTACTAAACATCCATTTGGATGGCGCTTGGGTTCAGGGCCAGAAATGCAGCCCTGAGCTGCTGTGTTAAGCATTTTTGCACATAGTCAGAGCTGCTCTCTTTCCCCCACATGGCCTCGAAGATGTCACGTGTCCTTCCTGGGTCTGGGTTTGCTCATTTGTGCAAATGCAGGGGTGAGGAAGGGAGAGTACTTTAGGCGGGCTCTTGCCAGTTTCCTACCCCAGAAGTTACCTGAGGCTGCTGTAGGAGAGAAAGGCTCAGGAGAGTGGCCTGGCTTCTCTGGGAACAAGACAGGGTGCCGGGCAGCTGTGCCTGGATTCCCCAATGGCAACTGTGGGCTGTGGGGTCTCAGGCTCTCTGTCCTTGGTGGTGAGATCACGGCCCTTTCTCTGGGAGGTGCAACTCTGCCAAGGAACCATAGCACTGCGCCTCTGTTTGCACAACTGTGTGCTGCCCAGAGGGGCAGTCCATCCCCAGCAGCCTCAATTGGTACAGCTGCAGCTGACTGCTCTCTCTACATCTCTGGGGAGCAGTCAGAGTAGGGGTGGGATGGGAGCTGATGGGGGCATTCTGGTCTTTCAGTGGCTACTGCAGGGGCAGGATTGCCAATGAAAGTATCCAGTACTGAGGTTCTATGAGGTTGCTTTGTTTAAATTCAATTCTCTCTCTCTCTCTCTCTTCCTCTCCCTCTCTCTCTCTGCTCCATGCATTCTTGATCCTCTTGCACACAGTGCCCAGATGCCGTAACTGAGCTGTGGCTGTGAACCCAGAGTGTCATGAGTAGCTCAGGGAGGCACATGGCTTACAAGGCTCAAAGGCAAGCAGGAAGGGGGGAGGGAAAGGGAAAGATGAGGTAGATGAGGCTTCCTTTCCTTAGCTGCCCACTGTGCTACGTACGGGGGGTCAGGTAGATGCTGACACATGCCCTCTCATGCTTCCTGCCCTGTTGAGTCTCTTGCCCATATTCCCAACTCAGCTACCCGCTCTTGGTAGGCACAAACTATCTATCGTTCCCATCTCCCTTCTTAGAGCCTGAAGGACAAGCCACAATATCCTGTGGTTGCTGAGTGCATGGTGTCATTTATTCCTCAGACCAGAGCCATTCATCCGAATTCTTTCGCCTTCATTGTAAGGGAGACTGAGGTTCAGGAACATTAGCTGAAATTTACCAGCCAGGTTCTCTCGCCAAAGCCCAGACTGTGCCACTGTGTGGTTGGGGAAAAGGGGCCAGGCAGTGGGACTCAGAGGGTGGGACATACTTACAGGGGGAGAGGTTATATCAGGAGGGGTGGACATGTCTCCAAAAAGTTCTAATTGGGTCACAGCCTGGAAAGACAGAGAGAATCACGTAAGCTTGCTTTAAAATGTTACAGTGTGAGAAGAGCCACCCTTTCCTCTGTGACCACTGTGTGAACGGTGAGGCCTGTCGTTCGCTACTATACCTCCTGGTCCCAACACATCTGGATAGAATCAGAATCAGTCTACTTCTCTGTCTAGTTGTCTGTCTGGGCTTGATGAGTGGTCCTCATTTGCTACAAGCAGCGTTAATAGCACTTCTTCATCCTTAAGTACCATCAAATGCAGTCGAAAACTATGGGCAGAAATGCAGCCCTATGACTAGTTTCTCTCGAGAGTGGAAACCATCCACCCAGAAACCCCCATCTGGAGAAGGACAAGGGATCACTATGAGGTCCTTTATCAGTTCATGCTTCCTGTAGCCCTAGTCCTGAGAGGTAGGGACCCTTATTCACATTTTTCCGTAAAGACACTGATCTGCGTAGAGGTTACAGAGGTTCCACCAAGGTCATCCCGTCAGGATGGCAGGATTTGTATTTTCTATATAGAGACCATGCAGTCAAACGTGCATGCCTCTCCAAGTCTGTCTTTGGGATAAAAATGTGGCTGGATGAAAAGAAAACGTTTCATTTAATACCAGGAAGGGCATCAACACCAGCCCAGTACACACACTATCAATCATTCCCAGGAACTCCATCCCTGCAGACATTGGACCATCCATCTTCTCATCCATCATACAGGGTGTGGGAGAAAGGCTGGTCAGGGAGCAGAAGAACCCTTTTAAGATACACTTAGAAATTAATCTGCATACACTTTAGCTTCAGGGACCGTAGGGATTCTTTGGCCAGGAACCAAATGCCCCGACTTAATTACGCAAAGCATATAATCACACACTTTGTGCGAACCTGTCCACTGAGCAAACATGATTTTCCACTCATCGTCAGATCTTAAGCGAGGGCTCGTGATGCAGGCGAGCACAATACCCAGCTAGCAGGAGGTCCAGGAAGAGGTTGGCTGCCATGCTACTCTGGTCCCCCACAGGTATTCAGTTCTAGCTTGGTCATACTTGGATCTATAGGATTAATGCCAAAAACAGAAGGATCATTCCTTCCGATGAATGAGCCAGCTCTGAGTTTGGAGAAGGTTCCACAGTTGGGTGTGTCTGTTGAATCCTACCCTTTCAGGCACCTTCCAAGCTTTACTTCCTCAGCTGGATGATGGAGCTGATAATACCTCCTTATATGTTATAGATTTATCACCTCTAACCTGAAAACACGAAACCTCCGATAGTCCAAATCCCACTCATTTTGAGTGTGATATGATGCCGTAAGTGGAAGATTCCATACCTGACTCTCTGTAAGGGTCATGGTAAAAAATTCTGGGACACTAAATATACTTTATTAAGTTATATGCAAGGTATGAGCAGAAGTATATATGAGGCAGCAAGGAATTTGTGCTTAGACCTTGGTTCAGTTCCCAAGGTGTGTCGTTCTGAACATGTCAAGACAAAGTGTTTTGCTTCTACCCAAGCACACGACATTCTTCCCACAAACCTTGGAGAAGCATAAGGTGCTGGACACTACACTAGATGTTAGGGGAATAGAAAGGAGAACTGCCAAGTCCCAACTGCAGGTAGTGATGGTTTGTTAGGGATAGCAGTCCACAGATGGCCGATCCCTTCAAGGTAACATGACAGAAAGGGTAACCATAGTCTCTGTGGGGCAGATGGAACCCAGTCTACCATGGGCAGAGAATTTAGTCAGCGTTTTCCAAAGGAAACAGTGTGTCTCCAAATTCTGGTGACAAAGGCGAGGAAGGACCCTGAAGTCACATGAAACTCCACGAGCCAGGAAGAACATTTGGGGAGGGGAGAGGCTGTTGGGTGCTACCAGCATGAACCTCTTCTGGGAGAAGAGGTGGGCGAGGGGACTGAGCGAGGCTGGAGAGGGGTACTTGTGGACATTCCAGAGTCTTTCCTACTAACTCTCTCCCAACAGCTTTCTCCTCACACAGAGACAGCAGCTGATAGTCTCTGGCCTGTAGGGTGTGCTCCTACACCTGGACTCTCCGATTTTCTTCGGCAAGCCTTCTTTGGCACGCCAGCAGCATCACACTTGAAATGGTGACGGCCACCCTTTGGTCCCTTCTGCTTCGGCATAAAACACTAACTACTTAATGAATTCAACTGAAGCTTCTGGGCTTCCTGGAGTTTGGCTCTCCGTGCTTATAAAATGGCTCAGGACTATTTCTAGCTCTGGGAAAATATTAAAATGAAGTTAATAATTAAGTCACACAATTTACATCTCAAATGTGTTGAACTCGTGGCATACTTTTACTAACATCGTAAAGATAACTTATTGGCTAATTTTCTCCTTAAGCACAACTTTTAAAATAACCTTCTTTCTTGAGATATAGCCCTTCCTCTTGCCAAATGATTTTCACTCAAGGATTAAACGAGAAAAACATGGGGAAGCATAAAGCATGGGCTGTTATTTCGTTTCATTGGATTTGCTGTTTAAATAGAACCCCGAGTTAATTAAATTTTATAGAAAAAGGGGGTTCTTGGGCCATAAAATTAAAAATAATCTGAATAAGCACGTATGATTGAGAATCAGAAACAGTATCTATTTTCACAGCCCTCCCCCATGTGCACCCCAGCCGCTTATTTGTAACCTAATAAACCATGTTCCATCTGAAAATACTGTCCTCATCCATCATTTTAAAGGCCTCAAGAGAATAAAGCTAAGAGTTCACATTTGTAAAACACTTTACAGCTCACAATAAGCTCGCCCATACGTTATCATCATGCCTGACACTCCCTGAGACCGGGAAAGTCAGCTCCATCCGCCACAGTCTGTACTTTACAGAGCGGTTCACTGAGGCTGAGGTGAGTGACCCGCCTGGGATCAGCCAGGGAAGGAGCTCGGGGTGCATTGCCCTGCGGAGCAACCCGACCCCTTTTCAGTCTGTCTGTTGATTTCACCAAGCCCTGGCCAGCCTTGCTTAACGGTGGTAGTTAGCTCTATACTATCTTCCCACCAGAAGCCAGGGTTCCCAGGAGACCTGCTGGCAGGCACACCCATGGGAGGTAGTTTGCGGCTTCAGCTCCAGAAATCTGCTCACCATAGAGGAGGGTCCGATCCACCACACAAGCCTTTCAAAGGCCTTCTGCAGAGATGTAGTATGTAGCAGATGTATTTCTTTTAGCACATATAGGGTATTTTCCAACAGTAGGTGGAGTGATGCTGAGCCTGCCATGGTCAGTGATGGAGATTAAGAGTTGACAGCTTTGGGTCAAGCCCCTCAATATCTCCATCAGGCCTGGCCCTGGCCCCGCCACTTTTATTTAGACAAGTGGTAGTTTCCCAGGTACACAGGACACTAAAACTGCTGGTTCAGAATTAGTCCCCTGGCTTTTCGTTTCAACATGACTGCAGCGAGTGGCCCTAGAAGCCCCCTGAAGGGAAGTTTTGGTGACACAATTGAAGAAGTATGAAATGCCACAGACCGACCCCCACAACACATTCTCTCACAGGCTCAGCCCCTATGTTTTGGCAGCGGGAGATCCTGGGATCCTTCAGGAAGTGTGTAGGGATTCTTATCACACATTAGTTACTGAGCCAAGAGCGGGGACACAGGCCCGAGGACAGCATGCTCCTGCTTCTATTTTCAAGATGCTTTATGGAAGACAGACCGAGACAGTCCACGCAGCATTAAGGAGTGCAGAGGACAGGGGACTGGAAAGGAAATTCATCTTTGGGCCTCTGTGTGAGCTCCTCCCAAGCTCACCATTCTTTTCTTCACTGCCTCCTCACCTTTGTCAGGACACAAATAAAGATTTTGCTGTGTGCCCCCTCCCCTGGAATGTGTTATGAGGCCTCTAAAATACTGGCCGAGTGAAACTGCAGGGTACGATCTCCTTTCCAGTTCCCCTTATGTCACACACACACACACACACACACACACCCTGTTTGTACATATTGGACCCCACGGCATCTTTAGTTTTCCTGTGAACACTGCAATGGGCACCTACCGGGGCAGCGCAGAGCAGAGCAATCGCCATTTACGCAGGCGGATGAGGACATCACGGCACACGTGAGGATAACGAGAAGAACTCTAATTTAACAGGACCCTGGAGGTCTTACCTTGGTTGCCTCAAGAAGCTCATCGAAGTCCACTGACAGACTTCTGTTCTGCAACCACAAGGCATGATTGATGAGCATGAAATGAGTAATGGTCCAGCAACATGAAACAGTTAAACAGACAGGGCCCTCTCAGTCTTACCGGCGTGGCGGCAGCGAAACGCTCTTCAAAATCCTCCAGCGGCTGGCTATTCTGCAAGTGCAAGGGATGATGGATGAGGATGGAGTGAATGACACACAAATGACATGGATTTATGGGTTTAATGATGACGGTAGCTACGGTTTACACTCTCGTGGTCGCAGGAGGTGGGAGCTGATGCTGATGTACGGCGAAAACCCCCGGGATGTGTTTCCAGCATAACCAGATGATAAAGCACAGGCCTGATCGGGAGATACAGCGACAGCATGTCTGCATGTCTAACGTCCCTCGTCCTGCAGTTGTGCGCGCCACTCAGCGAGGTGCAGCAGTGTCGCTGGGTGAGAGCAAGGTGTCCACAGTGCACAGTCGTCACTGACGGTGGAGATGTGCCCTCGTGGGATGTCAAACCCAACTTTTGCTATTGACAACTGTTTTAGTTATTCATAGTATACAAAACAGTGGGTTCCATTATGACATTTTCATATCTGTATGCATATACACACATCTAACCACACACACACACACACACACACACACACACCCATCACCAACCACTTGTGCCCATCTTTTGTGCCAGCTGTTCTCTTTGCTCAGCAAGCTCTTCCCGCTTTCCAAAGCCCAGCTGAATGCCACTTCCGCCATGCAACTTCTTCCCCTTAAGCACCTCAGTTCCACCTGTCCTTCTGAGAGCTCGCTCGTGTGTGCAATTCATTCCCAAATGCCCTGCAGCTCCCAAGGGCCTAATACATAGCCCTGTTCAACAGAAATGAATGAATCCATGGCTTAACAAGTGGCTGGCAGTTGGCCAAAACTCACTAGTCTCTTAACTTTCAATTCTATTGACTATAATCTGTATTACACAAAATGTATAATATCTACTACGCATGCATATTTTAATAACCCTGTTTTAGTCTATACATACAAGCTAATTATTCTTTGGATTATTTCCAAGTGGCTCAACATTAATAGAATCTGTGCCTACAAGTGTTCCAATTGAGGCACTGCGCATGTACAGAGAGATGGCTTTGCTTCCGAATTTTGAGTAGGGCTCGGTATTGGCAATGGAGGAATTGGGGGGGGGGGGAACTGTTGTCCAGTCTTAAAACACTGTTCATTTGCCAACGTCACCCTCGCTCTGTCCACCGAAATCCTAAATGACGCTTTTCTTGTTCCCACCCACAGGATGGAGAGCTGGGCAGGAGAATCAACATGCCCAGGACCCCTGCCAGTCAGAACAACTATCCATAATCCTGTTACCTGTCTCCACCAGGGTCTGTCTCACCATGACTCACCTGCGGTGACGACGAGACGGAAAGTCACAGTGTAGAATAGCTACAGAAATACCGCTTCCGCTACTGTTGGTGCCGATCATTATTAGGATTGTTATTTAGCCACAGGTGTGTGGGGCTGCGAGGCGAGAGCAAGAGTCTAGGAGACCACGTAAGCTGTGGTGTGGCCTAGGAGGTTAAGGTTATGTCGCTACATCCCTTATAAATTCACACACTCCTGGGGATTTATGGCAGGGCCCCTACCCACTAGCTCTGGGTCATAACTTTTAATAAAAACATTTTTTAGTGTCCAAAATCTCATTACATCTGTCCAATATAAAAAAGCAAATGGCTTCAGAACATGATGGATGAATTAAATAAATTTGAAAAACAGCCCGTGGTGGAGTCTCATAAAAGCCTCACCATGTCCCACATAATGAAAACGTGGGAGGACTTCCAGCATAGGCGTGGGGCTGTCACCTTCCTGGTGACAGAAGAGGTGGCCTCTGGGGAGTTACAGAGGTGAGGCATGATGGGGGATTTCTGGACATTCACAAGAAGTTCAGTCTAGGAATCTAGATACATACACTCAGGAGCTGGTCATGCCGTCTCTTGGCCACATGACTCTTTTCTAAATTTTTAGGTAGTGATATGGAGCCATTCTCTGAGTCTTAGATGGATGTGTAGCCTTGTTTGGTATCACACACAATGTAGATGTTCAATAATAAGTCAGAGTCATTATTTAGGATCATCTTCTCCTATCTCTTGGTTCATTTTAACAATGTATCTACATGGGTTTTGTAGTGTGCGGAAACTATTGTTACAAGGTGTTTGGGACTGGAACGAGCAACCTTTAGTCTGTTCTCCACTCGTTTCCTCCTCCTGGCCTTGTTCATAGACAGTATCACCAGACTGTCTCCTTCCAGGTGTCATCTCTGACCTGTGGTCCTCTGCTGTCTGACTCCGGCTTGGCCAATGCTCCAGACTCCCTCCTGTGTCCTCCATCTGGCCAGTGGAGAGGTATTTCTACACCATGTTCCCTTTCCCAGCTAAGACTCATGTCTAGGGCCTGGACTCCAGCCCCTTGCTTCCCACACATCTAGCACTTGCTTTTATTCACACCTAATACTGAGTTACAGCTTGGCTTAACAATTATCTTCAATTCTTGACCTTCTTTTTTCCCTATCTACTTTGTATTTCGCTCTTAAAAACTCAACAGTGACAAATATACCAGGACCCGAGCATCCCGAGAGGAGATTAAAGGGACTATATTCTCCCACACTCTTTCAGCATGGTTGTACCCCAATCTTCCGAAAGACACTGAAATAAGATGCCCATGGGCAGCTTCCTTTCCCATAGTAGGGGTATGACGGCTCCACAACTGAGGGATGGGAGAAGGGGGGACAGATTGATGGTACTCTTGCAGTAAAATTGACTGTGGATGAGATAGGTTGTGGGCACACACATCAAAAACGACGAAATCATATTTATGGCTGACAAGTCAGGAACTTGACATGGTTTATAATATAATCTTGGGCTGCATAACACAATCCTGTGGGGAGGCGTTTACAAAACTCTAAGACCTGAGCCCCAGCCTCTGATCTCCAATTCTGCTGGAGGAGAGGGTATGGGGGGGGGGCTTTTTTTTTTTTAAACCAGGCTTCCACAGGTCCTCAGTGACTCTGACATGCTGCTGGCTTTTCAAATTGCTGTACTGGGGAATGAATTCTCTTCAGGAATAATCAGGGAGCATCCTACTGGGAGAACCAAAGGCATCTTGATTGATTAGGTAATGGATTAATTAATGCCTTCAGCAAACATTGCCAGCGTATTTCCCACCTGCCAGGACCTAGGCAGGTGCCGGAGACACTATGATGACTAACTAATACATGGTCTGTGCTCTCAGCAGGGCCAAGATGTGTGGTCCTCGTTGTCTGCGGTGGTCAGGAGTGTGTATACAGGAGGGCACAAGGCTTTTAGGTCTAAACTGGGACCTAGGCCACGGCTGCAAAGGAATCAATTCGATTATCCATTTAGAGGGCCCAGGAGAAATGGATTAACTTAAGTGATTTGTAACTGTGCACAGGTGGGCAGTATTAAGGCCACCTAGTGATTCCAGGCACCCGCATGCATGCTACTTTCCCGGGTGCATGATTTAACAAGCAAGGCACATGCTAATTAAAACCGATTCTCACTGGGACACTAGGAGCGTGTGTGCCACACCACCTTTAGCAGAGAGGAGATGGCCACTTTCTACGTTTTAGGAGACAGTCAAGAAAAGCTCTGCTCGGCAACTGCAGAAACAGGGCTGAGGGTGCCTTTAGGATGGCTGTGCATGGAGCAAGCAATGTAGAGACTGCTGTGCAAATAGCACAGAGCACAACCACGTGTGTCCGTTCCCTTTCTAAGAGGCTGGGAAGAGGAGAGAAGGATAGATTATAGGGGAAAGAAAGGGGAACGTTGGGGAGGACAGGGGAAGAATGAAAAGGGAAAGGAGGGGGAAGGGAGGAGAGGGAAGAATATAAGAGGAGGGAAGGAGGGGAGAAGGGAAGGGGAGGGGAGGAGGGAGAGGAGAGAAAAGGAGGAATGGAGAAGGAAAGGAAGGGGGAGAAGGAGAAGGGGAAAAAGAAAGGGGAGGACAGAGACAAGGGGGTGGAGTGAGGGAAGCGGAGGGAGAGAGGGAGGGAGAGAAATGGGGGAAGGAAAGGAAGTTAGAAAAGAGGGATAGAAGGAGGGCGGGAAGAAGGAAGGGAGAAGGGAACAGGAGTTTTTGCTTGGCAGGTGTGATGTTTTCAATGTTCTGCAGCTCCCAAGAGTTTATTGTGCATGCAGGGCTGAGGGGGGCTGCAGGATGGGAGCGGATGTGTTAGAGTTGAACCCCTAGAGTGGCCCTGGAGGTAGGTGAGGAAATCCTCCAGGAGGGGTCCCTGTCAGGAGGTCCTTAGGTCACTCAGGGGTGCGGTCTTTCTCATGAAGCTCTTTCAGCAGTTCTGCTGTGAGCTGATGAGCTGTCAATGTTTGAATGAAAATGCCCCCAAAGGGAGTGGCATTATTAGGAGGTGTGGCCTTGCGGGAGGAAGTGTGTTGCTGTGGCGGGTGGGTTTTGACACCTCTTTCTGAAGCTTCACTCAAGATGACAGTCAGTTGACTTCCTGTTGCCTGAGTCAAGATGTAGGAGGCTCAGCTCCAGCACCCCATCTGCCTGCAAACTGCCATGCTCCCCTTCATGATCATAATGGACTGAACCTCTGAAAACTGTAAGCCAGCCACCCTTCAATTAACTCTGTTCTTTGTAAGAGTTACCATGGTCATGGTGCCTTTTCACAGCAATAAACCCCCTAATGTGCTAAGGCAGCCGTTTTCTCTGCTCCCCCTCAAGTACTGGTTCTGACATCTGCTTCCTTGTGGCCCCTTGTCACTCAGCAGGCACCTCCAAAAACTATGAGCAAAATGCAGCTTTCCCCTTTTCCTAACAGCTGCGACCAGCGTTTGCTATAGAAAGCAAAGGTGACGAAGAGATGGGGGTGAGCAGGTGTCAGGCATGGGGAGTACTGGTCCAGGGGGGCACCGAAGTCAGCTGCAGAAGACACTGAAGAGGGGAAATGCCAGTTCCAATACAGACACTGCAAGCTTCTGCTTGGGAACTTTCCCCTAGTTTTCAACAGGGATTAGAGTGGCCTGTTCTGGATCCGCCCTGTCATGCCCTTTTCTTTCCACCTCTGACACCTATTTTGGAAGTCAGAGAGTGTGTAAGCTGATGATAGGATTGTTCCATGGTATGGATAA